ATAAACTGAAAGGTTTAGAAATGCAGAATCCTTACCTTTGAGGCCTTCTGCAAGCTCCTTTTTAAATTTGGTAGATAAAAGAACGACCATTTATAAGTTACAGAATAGAAACAACCTATCTGTAGACATTTGCAAGCTGTTCACTGACTAGATACAGATACGTTTTTTCCACATACTTCAATGTGATATGAGAAGAAGTTCCTTTAACCTTCTCTTTTATCTTTTTTTTTTTTTTTTTAATGTAACAAAATATATATTACTTATAAGGTAATTTGCCAGAAGATTTTCTAGAATGAGGATCCTGGCTGTACATTATTTCTTATGTACACAGTTGCTTGTTTAGCTATTAAAACTTTGGGGGCGTATTTTACACAGTACTAAACTAAACTGTATTCAGCTCCTTCCTTCAACTACTTTAAAGTCTTACGTTCATAGATGATTGAACTGCTGTTAATAAGCAAACATCATTATTACAACTCCACAGCTAATGTTCTATTTGGTTACTCAGGAATTTTTACTTAAAAGTGCAAAATACAAGCCTAGATTTTTAAACAGCTGGACCATAAGTATGATCTTAAACATGCTCAAATGCCTACTTAATCAAACTGTAGAAATGTGACTACAGTGGCAAAGTGAGGACCATACCATCAGATCCTCAATGCAGAGGATGAGAGACATCTCAAGAAGGCAATCAGCACCTAAAATTACAGTGGAAAGTGTGATGAAATGTTTTCATGAGCTTATAAAAGACTCTTTAATTATGAAAATGGAAATTGAAAAGTGTTGTGTTGTGTTGACAAAAAGGCTATCGAAGTCTATGGTCCAAATGCTTTTCGCTGTTTTAATGTAATCTCTTGGCATTATCTTTCACTCATGTATATGGAAGCAAATAAAACAAAGAACCTTCTCAACTCTTGCTTACAAAATAAAGCAGCTTTTCCACAAAACAGAGACTGTAACATGTAAGAATGCCACATTAAGCCATCACTTTAAAATGATGTAGAATAGAAACATTCATCTTTTCAGAAAACATTTAGGACAAAATAAAGTCATCCTAATCTTACTGACTTTTTAAGCAGGACTTCAACTGCGGTGAAAAAAGCAAAAACAAAGGTTATGTTTTAACCTATATTTGCACGTATAAGCATTTTCTGGAAGACATGTATGGTCATTAGTTGTCCCTCGTCAGTCCCTATGTAATGTAGTGGATAAAAGACAGCATACAAAGGACAGAATTACAGTTCAAACACTCAATTCTCTTAACTCAGAAATAAATTTACCTGCAAATATAAACTAGCTCACAGCAACTTCTATTGTAACAACAACTTGATGTGCTACATCACGACAATGGAAGGGATTAGGACACAACTAATTAGGAAAGCAACAGTATAAATATCAGACAGACAAAATGCATGTGCATAAATACATTACATAGGCACACACAAATACATGCACACACAAACACACAAGACAGCAATTAATAGGTCTAAAGAGCTATGTAAAAGGCAACTGAGAAGTTGCACAAGCCACAGCCAGTAACTGTTAACACTTGAAGCTGCTTGAAACTTTAGGGAAGTAATTAACCTCCTGGCCCTCAGTTTTCAAGCCCAAGGAGCAGATCATAGAATTTCTTTTACAATTTAAGAACAAGCCAAGGAATTTATATCGCAGTCAGAGGATTCTTTTGCTGAATTAACCCCAGCTCCCTCTGACCCTAAGAAGTCATAAACCAACAGGATACAGCAGAGGGAGAATGTGCTATAGTGTTTCAGCTGACCTACAGAGCGCTGTCTCTGTCATGCCAAGGCTGAAACCCAGATGATGAATTACAGAGCAGTATGTTAGGTTCAGATGCAAACATCAACCCCTTCCCTCTGTACATGCACATGCAGACATGTTCACTCACCCCAAACGAGCTCAGTTTCTGCAAAAGGCCAAGTAACTGTTAGGGCTCATTTACAGAGTCTTACTCTAAGATAAAAGAGGGAAGAAAATTGCTTATCAAGGAAGCATGCATACATCTGTGAGTAACAATACTGAAGATCACATGCTGTGTATTAAATATAAACCAAAACTTCATTAAGCTTCTCTTTTTGTATATGGATTATTAGGCATACGAAAATACAATTCCAAAGCTGAACCAACAACCTCGACTTTTTACCAACAACAGCTTTACAAATAAAAAAGGATAAAAACTGAGACATGACTCTCTTTAAAAAGAGCCTGCTAGCTTTATTTTTCAAATACACTACCAAGCAGCTAATGAAGTCTAGCTGACCACATGCACAGAAAGAGGTGTAACACGTATCTCTGCACCAAGACCTCAAACTAATCAGGTGTAATCACTAGGCCATGAAAGTCTTTGCAATATTTACAATTACGGTGTACTGCTTAGCTGCAACAAAGCTCAGCCCCAGCTGAAGGCTTATTCACAAAGATGATCCATCTCTTGAAAGCAGACCGTGGCTGGTTGTTTCACTTCTAGCTCAGAATGAAAAGCAATACTTTGAAGTCAGAAAAAATAAAAAGAGAGCACAGTTTTTAACTGATCAATTCAAAACCACGGAATTTAATAGATACCAAGAGCATGAAGTATTCAATACGGCAACATTTTGAAACCAAACATCCATCACTGAATAAAGTAAGTTTGTGGCTCCACTGTTTGATGAGCTGAAAATTTCTTGGCACTCAGAAAAATCCCTGAGAAGTTGTCAAGGATTTTCACAATGCAGTGAACTTTATTACTAAAAGCCATCAAATGAGTACTCAACTATTTCTGTACTGTTAGCAAATGACATGGATTCCCTTCAGCTACCCTTGATTTCTTAGAAATTATGCAAGCTATTCCTCAGGCCCACTGAACATTGGACAACCATCTCCTTTTGTGATTAGTCTGCACCTATTATGATCATGAACAACTTGGCTGAAGTCTTAGGTACAGCACAAGCCAAAACCACCTCTCCAAAGTCCATGCATCTAACTACAGCATGTTCTCACTAAACTTCGCATAAGGCATTTTGCCATGTAACTTACACATAATTTTTTTAACCAATTTCCTGAATTAGCAACCCTTTTCAAAATGAGCACTTCTAACTTTTTAGGTAACAAAAGAGGCCTTGAACTCTCCCTTCTCCTGCAGTGGGTTGTTTCCACACTGCATATTCCCTTAATTCCAACCTGTATTGTATCCTGGCAAAACAGTTTGTCCCACCATACTTAATTTACAAGTGACCTGAAAATCTTCAGTGCCTTTCTGCTTCAAGTAAGTTCAAAATGTTGTAGTTACCATTTCTCATATAATAGTGGCTACAAACTTTGCAAAGTTCTCTAGCCCAGGTTAGAGTTCTCTGGTATGTGGTTTCATGAACCTCAGCTTAGCCTAACTTCTAAATTTAGGAAAGCCTGCTTGAGAGCTGAAACATTAAATGTAACTGCTATCAGCACATGTGTGAAAAGCATTTCCACCCAGACAGCTATAAAGCATTTTCCCCAAGAGCTATCTGCACTACCAACTTGAAAAACTAGGACCTTTGTACTCTGTGCAAAGTGATGTATAACATTCATAATACACAGAAAACACACCTGGAGTTTAAGGAAAGAGCCTGTGAAATAAGCAAGCACAAAAGTACCACACTAGTGAAGGCAATAAAGCAGACTTGCCTTCAAAAAATGTTGAAACGTGAAATCAGAGATTTTAATGAAGAATAAGAATAATGTTTGATCTGAATCCTCAGGAAGTCAAAAAAAAAATAAATTAAAAAAAATAAAAGAGAAACCCACACCTTATGGGACAGAAGACTGGAGAGAAAGACAAAACAGGTGAGACTGTGCAGGAAGGGCTTTGAAAGGAGTTGGTAAGGTGCACAGAAGAAAGAATGTCACAACAAAGAGGAGCAATAGACAGATTTTGGGTCTTGCAAGCTTTGACCTTCTGTCTTTTGTATCAGTGACTGTACAGTGTATGTAAACAACATGCACAGAATGTATGTACAGAGGCTTCTATGTAAATGTTTTTTTTATTGCTGCTAAGAAGGATAAATGTTCCAAAAATGAAAATTAGTAAAGAATAAGAGATAAAGAGATAAAGTCAATTTTAGCCTTTTTATCCTGCAGGAACGGGATAAAAATTTGCTAGTGTCTATAGCAGCCAAATCCAAAAACCACAATATATCAAAAACGAGTAAAACCTGTAATCTTAAGAGGTGGACTTCATAGGCTGAAATAATTCAGACTTTCCCAAGCACAGTAGAAAGCCAAATGACTAAAAGCACAAATTGTTGTCATCGCCCTGCAAACCAAATTTGCTTATGCCAAGTGAATGGAATGTCATAGGAAAGCTATTTGTTAACTGATGCTTTGACTGCCAAAGGCAAATCTATACCATTTTATACTGGAAACAAATAATCACAAAGAAACCCCTTTTAGTTGCTGCCACTTACCTGAATGAAAGCATAAGCTCACAAAATGAAACCTGACAACGTGACTAATTTATTTTCAGTGTGTGTACAGATGCACATATATGACATGACAGTGATACAGTAATGCAATCTGGGTGGCAATAAGTTGCATAACTCAGACCCAGAAACATTAGGAGACCTGCAGAATGAGTCAGATGTTGCAATAGAAAATAAATTTTGAGTTAAAGCATACACAAAGTACAACATTCTAATTTGGGTAGCATGCATGTTGTGATAAGGTCCGAAGTTACATTAATATGAAGTCAGAGTTTCAAAACATCTTAGCTACCAGAAAGATGAAGTCATACTGTATATACATATACACATTCACATACATATACACACTCTCATACATAATCATAGTTGAGAGTAAAATCTGTTTTTACACATTAAGCAGGTAAAATGTCTGAAAAAGATGCTGCGTTAGGCCTAGCTGTAAATTCACATTTGTTTCTAGATAAGACAAATTATGGACATGCTTATAGATATCTTGTCACATATTCAAAAAGTCATCTCTGTTCATTACAGTAAGCACCACTGTACCTGTATGGCTTCGAATATGAACTCTCAGTGTTCCATTGCTTGCAAACTTCTGTCCGCAATATGGGCAAATCTTCTCTTTTTCTCCTGTGTGAGTCTACATGGGGTGGAGAAAGACAAGAATGAAAGCTTCAGCATAGCTTTAAAAGAAATGGAATATGGAATATTTTAACTGTATTGACATTGACCGCTATTATCTCCATTATACATTTTATACCATCACATCAGGCAGAGATTGTTTCAATTTTCTTCTAAAATTTCTAACTCTCATTACTAATGACAAAATAATATGGCTTTTCAGTTCCTAAGTTTCCTATTTCCTAAAAATAGTTACTATTAAAAATGTCCAATTCACCTCTAGTTATTTTCATGATTGCAAGAATAAGACACCTATTTTTCAGTTTGGTATCTGTGATAGTGGTTTCCAACAAACGTTAATTTGGTTACCTAATAAAATTAATCTTCATAAATGGGTCTGTTTTTAACAGCTTATAATTTCACAGAATTTTATTATATTATGAAATGTAGTGAAAATAGTTAACCTAACCTAGCATAACTCTTCCAGTTGCAGACTTGTCTCTGTGGAGATTTGTGCGTATGGTTTGTGTCTCCTACAAATGAAACACAGCCATCAGTTTATCTGAAGTATGACAGAAAACAATCCTTCAAAGCACAAGTTCTCAGTGATTCAGTCAACACAACTTGCATACTGGACGCTACCTAGCTTGTGTTAAATTCTAGAATCAGACTGCATTTAGAGAATTATCACAAGAATAATACTGTAATTGTCACTAACACTAAACCATACACTGAGCTTGTCTTATGAAATCAAGCTGTTAAGGCTAGAGCACCTAAAATTCTGCTGATCAGAAGAATTATTTCAAAACAAAGAAAAAAAAAATCACAAACTCTCCCATCCAACCTGTGAGGTCAACAGCAAGACCACCTTGAAGTAAGTTACAAACACAGCTTCTCGTCAGTTTTCACACTGTACTTTCTACGCCCTATTCTGAACTGAAGATTTATCAGCCTATTGAATAATTTTTCCTTATAACTGTGCCTGCTCTTTCAGTGGAAAATTTTGGATTACTTCATTTACAAGAGTTCGTTTATATGGGATAGGAAAGATAACACATTAAAATATACGCACAGCTGACTACTCAGGATTCAAGCTTTGCCCATGACTCTCTTCAGATAGGGAAATTAATTCTTATTTTTACGAAAGACACTTAAGTGACATAAAAGTCTTCATTACATCATAAAAACCTTATCTCACATCATACATATTACACTGCAGCTTAAGGAAGAGTAAATGAAATGTCATTTCAACACTTGCACTTGCACAATTTTTATTCCCTAACATTAGGGATATCAATGTTAAACCCTTCTTGACTAGGACAGAATTCTTTAGGAATCACTTCTCTCTCTAACAGCAATACTGGAGAATACCAGATGGACTTAACACATTTCAAACTACCAGAAAGGATTTCTGGAGCAATACAGTACAACTAAAAGGCTCACAGACATATAGCTAGTACTAGTCTGACAGCAGCACAGAGCAATAGCAATTACAATCAAGAAGGCATGTCAACGAGAGAACAGGGATAAGTGATGAACACTAGGTGCTTTCCATTAAAATACAAGTACGCACAGCCATTTTTAATGTGAAATAGTAAGTCATACTGAATTTTTTAGAAAGGACTCTGGGGAAAGGTTTAAAAATTTATGCAGAGCACATCAATGATTCCAGGTAATATTTTGACGTTTGGATCTTGAAATCCATCTTGGTGAGACCCTTCACAAAAAGTTAATCTGAACTCAATGTATCAGTATTATAAGCTAGGTCTGTTAACTCAAGTGATTAGACCAAGTACATATGGATGAAAAGGATTGTGTTCTGAAAAGCAGTCTTGTTTCCCAAAGAAATCAGTTTGCCTAATGAATGATACTATACCTCCCTGAAGTTTTGCTCCCCAAGAACATAATGAGAAACAAATCACAACTTTATTTTGTATACCATTTGGTTTTGAATTCCTTAGACCAATATATTCAGGCTTGAAAAACAAATGTGTTCTAATACTCTGAGAAAGAGTATCTTATAAAGTTCTCTATTATAGCAGAACTCAACTGATTTAACAGGCTGAACAACTAATGAACCTGGTTATTTGAATCTCAATCATTTTACAGTACTTGTATTGAAGTCTATAAACAAGGCAACGCATGTCATTCAAGTTCTTCTGAAGAACAGGCAAAAATCTTCCACTAAGCATATCTGAGAGGAATATAGCTTGGTTACACAGTTAATTCACTCAATCACAGGAAACTTTATTTTATAGCAACTATGATTACGAAGTAACTTAATGCATTTTAAATATGGGACAAGCAGCACTTGAACCAGACTGAAGGCAGACAGACTGCAAATTCATTAACATACCTTTAATGGAAGATTAAGATCTTTAAAAAACTACAAAAGAAACCAAAGAGATCTCATTCCTAGTTGGTTCCAACACTTTTTGCAAATACTTTTTGCACATTAAGGAGACAGTGCCATCCATTACCTTAGAGACTTTGATAGTCTACTATCTGCCAGTAAGCTGGTTTAGGCTCAAAGGACACGTACTAGTTCCCACAGCTGTAACGCATAGGGCTGGAGAGACACTGGAAGACTCCCTTACATTTTTTCCTCAATTTTAAATACAGATTTGTGTTGTAATGCACAGTACTCACCATAATCATGTGCTGAAAAAATACTGTACCAAGTAACTCAGTTACACTCAGTTTTGTTCCTAAAATTTTACATGCTTATATGAGGTGCATACTACATGGCAAATACTGTATGCATCATGTTTTTCAATAAACTCCTGCAATCTCCATTTGGTGGCAACACCTCAGCTGACCTGCTCTTGATTCAATTATTTTCTTCTCATTTCTCTGCTGTAACATCAACCTGACCTCAGGCCCAACTAGCGAGCAAGCTTTCTTCTGAAGTTTAACGCAGTTCCACCACAGAGATCAGTGGGAAGGAGTATGGCAAGAGAAGTGCATCACGTCCTGACATACACCAGATGCTGGAATACCTACACTGGATTTATACATATGTACCCACTACAGATTCGGCATGCCACCAAGAATCCCACTACTGCAATAAGTGTTTTAGGACATGAAGCACCATCATAGCTTTCTACTGAAAAGCCAGAAATGAGGAAGCACCTGGGGACTTTATGTTTATTACCAACTTAAGGACACAGAATGAATGAATATGACAGAACATATTCCACTCACTTTTTTATGACTCTTCAGGACTGAGGGCGTCACAAAAGCTTTGTCACAGAGATCACACTTGTATTTCTTATGTCCGTCGTGTACAACTTGAATATGAACATTTAATGTGTCCTTTCTTTTGAAAGTAGCATCACAGTGATCACACCTGAAAGTCCTCTCACCTTATAAAGAGAAAAACAGTGTTAAAAGGTATCATATTTTTGTGGAAATATACTAACGCTTATTGTTTCAGAATAATGAATAAAAGCAGCAAAGACAAATGAAAAGCTGGGTCCTGAGAAAAGAAAGAACATCACACATAAAAATGTCATTGGGAAATTAAGAAAGTAATCATGACAACAATGTAGCCAGAAACGTGCAATTAAACTCCACTGCCAAAGGTAAAATGGTATCCAGTGGAAATGGCTGCCAGTGAGAAGGAGCACAGGTTTTATCTAAACCTCTGTAACAGACTCTCTTTATGGTAACAAGCAAGAAGATGCAATAGGCTTAATCTTTTCAAACTTAAATGGTAAGAGACATCTTCCCGAATGTCAAAGAATTCTCAAAACAAGAAATACTTGCTTTGAGTAACCTCTCCCATTCACACCAGTAGAGGCAAACTTGTATGTCAAAGACGAAATAACTTTTAAGTGTTATAGCAGTATTACTATTCAAACTGTGGTGACGTCATTGAAGGTTCTGGCAGAGGCTAGGTTAATATTGCTAATAGTTTTAAAACTCAAAGAATTACGTAGGAGAGAGGAAGAAATGTTGTATTCTCAAAATCTGCATGCATGTTTTGAGAGTCAAAAAGACGTGATTCTTCAGAAAAATCATTACAATGAAGCATCACTGCTGTGAATGTAGAAGACAATATTCTATTTGTTACCTTCTTGATTAAAATTACAAGTTAAATATCTGCAACACGGCATTCATTCAGAAATCCACAGCCTAAACTGGAAATCAGGTACCCACATCCCACAAAACTTTCCAAGAAGTTACATCACAAAGAAAGATCACCATAGTCTAAGGGCTATCCTCCACTTCTCATTTTTCAGGACAGAGGTTTGACATGTTGTCCTGGGTTCAGCTACAGCA